CCGCGCCCTCCCTGGGCTGCCGCCGGCGGCGCCGCAGAGGCGGGCCTGAGCCGGGCTCCCTCCTGCAGGCCTGGCAGAGCCTGGCGGTCACCGAGCAGCACCTGAACTTCCTCAGCGACCTTCCTCTCTCCTTCCGCGTCCTCTTCCTGCACCACGCGCCCGACTGGTGAGCGCGGGCGGCGGGCACTGCGCCTGACCCCAGCTGGGGGATGGCAGGCCGTCCGCCTCCGGCCGCTGAGGGTCCAGGGCGGGACGGAGCAGCCGGCCGGGAGGGGCAAGAAGGGCCTATTCCATCGCCCCCGCGGCCGTGTGACTGGCGGGCAGCTGGGGAGGGCGGTCGGGGGCAGGTGGGCCGAGCCAGCCGCGAGCCCTGACTCTGGCCACCAGGACCCGCCTGTACGGCGCTGTCTACGAGCGCCCCAAGTTGGTGCCCGCCGCTAAGGGGAAGCTGCCGCCACCGGGAGGTGAGCTGGCCTCGCTGCCCACGGCCTCTGGGGCACCAGGGCCACGCTGCCAGCCCGGCCTGCCCTCCAGCCGGCCCTCAGCGCAGCCCTGGCGGTAGCCACCCTTGCCGCGTCAGTTAGGAATGTTCCAGAATCAGGACAGTGTCCTGCACCTTGGGGCTGTGTCCATGCTTTCTCTGCCCGCGCTCCTTTCTCTGGGGCCGCCTCGGGGGGCGGACCCTGCTTGCGGGAGTCTGGGGGGCGTGGGGAAGGCCCACCCCCCCACGAGGCCAGGGCGCCCTGCCCCCTCTGTCGGCAAGGCAGGGGCCAGCTGTGTGCCATGTCACAGGCCTCTGCAAGGTGGCCCGAGTGGTGGTGAACCCGGAGGACTTGTCCTCCCTGCTGGCTCACGCCCAGCAGTTCCGGGAGCAGACGCTGACCGAGGTGTGCGAGGAGGACATGGCCCCCGGCCCAGGCTCGGTGAGCCCCTGCCCAGTGCTCCCCGCGGCCCGCGCCTCCAGGCCTGACAGGCGGCGCCTGTGTGGTGCTGGGAGCCAGCGGCGTCTGGGGCCCGCAGGGCGGAGCATCTCTCTGGGGGCTCGCGGATCCCCAGCAGGGCAGGTGGGCGGG